ATGGAGATTGTGAATTGCTAGATTATGAATTAGAAACGATGAGAAAATATAATTCCTAATACTCGTAGTCACTCAGTAAATGATGGTCCCTCAGCTCATCCCTCCAACAATCATGCATCAAGGAAACAAGCACTTAGCAAGTCAGATAGCCTGGCAGCCTCTTCAGAGAATCCCTCCTACCTGTTGGGTCTTCTAGGACCTAACCACAAGGAATTGGCTCTGGCCACAAAATAGTCTTTTCCTCCCAGAGCCAGAATCAGGTTTTTCCCCAGCAAATATCTGGGTACCCTCTTTATTGTTCAGTTCTTTTTCAGAAAATCTGGCTCCCACTTTGGAGGACTACACTCGTATCTGTTACATCCACTGCAGCTTCTAGGAGTGCTCGGTTTCTTTTCTTTTTTTCCTCAAATCCTTCTGTTTTCTGATTCTGACGCCGAATCTCTTCAGCTTCATCTTTGCCTCATAAAATCCAGAAACTGGCTGGATCGGAGGGTTATATACCCATTGCTGTTACTTCAATTCCTAGAAGTCTGTAAGTATATAATTTCCTTATAATGCTCTGATCAGGAACTAAATTGATGCAGAATTTGGAGGCATCAAAAATGTGCCTTGTGTGCTCTGCAGAGTGTTTTTTAGTCCTTTTTTTTTGGTCCATATTCTAATTGCTAAAGTTGCATAACTAATTACCCCAAAACTTACTGGTGTAAAACAACTGCTGATTGTATTTGTAGATTCTGTGGATCAGGAATGCAGACAGTGATGTTCTATGTCTGGGGCATCAGCTAGAAGATTCAAAGGCTGAGGGCTAGAATCATCTGAAGTCTTGTTCATTCATCTATCTGGTAGTTCCTGCTGGCTGTCAGCTGGGGGAGGAGGGAGCTGAGTTTTTTTCTACACGGTCTCTCTGCATAGACTAGTTTGGTCTTCCTCATAGCAGGGTGGCTGGCTTCTCCCAGAGTGAGCATCCTCAAAGAGCCAGAGAGCCAGGAAGGAGTTACATCCTTCTAATAACTCCTTCAGGAAGTCGCAGATCATCTCTTCTTCTGTCCTTTCCTTGTCAGAGCAGTCACAGGCCCAGATATTCAAAGGGAGAGAAATTAGCCTGGTAAGTGTCTGTTGAGTAAGCAGGACTCTAGCTACCTCTGTGGCCATTTCTGGAAAATATAATCTGTGAAACCAGGTCAATGAGACCAAGCAAGACTGCCATTTCCATGGCATGGAGGCAAAAGTATTTTTAGGTGAGCTCCTTCTCAATGTCCTAGGATAGTGCCAGGAAATATTTGATGGAGATGAATTGCTCAGTTGAAGACCAGAGCCCTAAGACAATGAGGGTCTCACTTCATTTACTTGAGTCCTTAACACCAGCTGCTATTGTTTATAAGTGTGTGGGAAATGGAGTTGGGAACTGTCATTCTAGGTAGAAAAGTGATTTGCACGTGCAAGCCATCATTGTTTCCAACGGTAGACAAGCAACTCAAGTTGTACACCTTCTCAAAACTCAGTCACCAGAGTTGTTTCTACTTGCAGCAAAATCTAAATAAAAATGTCCTGGATCAGGAGTCAGGCTGTCTGAATATTGGACCCAATTCTATCAATTACTCGCTGTAGAACATGAGGCAAATGACTTTTCCCATTTATAAAAAGGAAATGATCATCCTTGCTCTGCCCAGCTTGTGGGGGTTACTGTGAGATTAGAAGAGATAATATGAAATGCAACACACAGGCAAGGACTTTTAAAGGAGTAGCCGTGCAAAACAAAAGCCCAATGTATCGTCCACAACAGCAGAGACTTCGGGAAGATAATTGTCAGTGATCTTGGAAGTGAGGAGCAGGACACAGGAATAATGAATACACTGATAAAACATCAGTGATACCGATCATTTGCAGAGATATTGATCAGTTGCAGGGACTTAAGAGAACAGTCTTAAGAATTTTCTTTTTAAGATTCTTAGAGGAAAAAGGGGATGATCACCTTTCCAAGGCTGAGATCACGATCTTATGTCAAGAATAGATGAAGCAGAGCAGCAGCCGGCATGTTGATCTATAGGAAAGAACAAAGAAAAGAACAAAAGTGAAATAGGCTCCACTCCACTAAGAAGCCTCACAAATGAACGAGGTAATTAACAGAATGTTTGATTGTCAACAAAGCTGGGGGAGTGAGTTTATTGGTAAGTTTGATTGACAGGTCTCTCATTGAGGAGAAAATGCCAATTTGGGTTTCCTAAAGTGGCTGTATAAATTCATACCTCCACCCACTCCCCTCCAACCTGCAAGAGATTTTGCAGATTCACGTCCTCCCTAATTCTTAGTATTGTCAGAATTTTAAATTGTTTTCCAATACTGTGGTGTAAATTGGAATCTTGTTGAGGTCTTAATTCATATTTTCTTAATTACTTACAATTTTGAGTATTTTTTCACGTTTATTGGCCATATGTGTTGTCTCTAATGTGAAATTCACATCCATATCTTTTACTCAATTTTCTACTGAGTTGTTTATGGTTACTGGTTTATGGGAGTTATTTATATGTTCTTGACAATCCTTTGCCCCTTTTGTGAACTGTGACTATCTTCTCCCAGTCAATACCACGTGGGACAAAACAGCTGAGCTCAGTCAGCCCATGAAATCATGAGAAATAGTAAATAGTTGTTGTTCTTTAGTAATAAATAGTTTATAACACAGCAACAGGTAATTAAATTAATTTTATTTTGTTATTACTTTAAAAATCTGTCATCCATATTTTATGCCCAATTTTCTTTCATAATATTATTTAATTTTGTCTTCTATCCTTTTAGCTGATCAGAATTCCCAGTGTTTTAATCTATTTTGTTCACTTTTTTAAAAAGACTAAACTTCTGTGGGCTGGCCAGGTTGTGTAGTGGTTAAGTTCGCCTACTCTGCTTCGGTGGCCTGGGGTTTGCGAGTTCGGATCCTGGGCGCAGAGCTAAGCATTGCTGGTCAAGCCACGCTGTGATGGCATCCCACATACAGAACGGAGGAGGATGGGCACAGATGTTAGCTCAGGGCCAATCTTCCTCAGCAAAGAGAGGAAGATTGGCAACAGACATTAGCTCAGGGCCAATCTTCCTACCAAAAAAAAAAAAGACCAAACTTTTGGCTTTGTTGAACTTCACTGTTTTTCTTTTATTTTCTGTTTTATTAATTTCCACTCTTCTTTTAAGTATTTTTTTTCTCCTATGTAGTTTGGGGGCAATACTATTGCTTGTCCTTTAATTTCTTAAGATGGGCATATAACTCATTAATTTTGAGGTTTTCCTCTCTTCTAATATAAAGATTTAAACATATAAATTACCCTCAAAACACTGCTTTTGTTGCATCCCATGAGTTTTGATGTTATGTTTTGTTATTATCCAATTTTGTACATTTGGACAATTCCTCTACACATTCCACTGTTGTGTTTTGCCATTTATCCACTTTCCCCACCATCTTAGCGTTGTCGGTCACAACTAGGAAGGGACGCTACCGGTATCTAGTGGGTAGAGGCCAGGATGCTGCTAACCCTTCCTCGATGCTCGCAACAGTGCCCCTCCACCCCACCAACAAAGAATTGTCTGGCCCCAAATGTCAACGGTGCCAAGGTTGAGGAACACTGATTTAGACCAATATCTAAATATAATTAACAAATGTTATTACCTTGACGTATGCCCTTCCCCTGTCATGAACCAGGCAGTCTCTTCAGAGAATCTCAACTACATCTAGGCTTGATTCGTGCTTCAGCCTCCTCTCATCAAACTCAGGATGGCGTTTTGTAGAGATTGTGGACGGCTCAAAGGTAAAATTTCCATGATGTGGTTAGCTCAACTCCCAGTACTGTGTCCATACTTAATTCCCTCAATAATGTTCTGGCTAAGAGAAAAAATGGACTGAAAGTCTAGATGTACATAAAATATGGCCAAGAGTATGTGTTTTACTTGATCCTCCCCTTATTTTGTGAGGAAGATTAGCCCTGAGCTAACATCTGTTGCCAATTCTCCTCTTTTTTTCTTGAGGAAGACTGGCCCTGAGCTAACATCCGTGCCCGTCTTCCTCTACTTTATATGGGAAGCCGCCACAGCATGGCCTGACGAGCGGTGGGTGGGTGCGCGCCCGGGATCCGAACCAAGGCTGCCAGCAGTGGAGCGCGTGCACTTAACCACTACGCCAAGGGGCAGGCCCCTTGATCTCTTTTTTATATTCCACACTATATGTGGCCAGATGAAAGAGACCATCCTGGGATGCCATCCCCTGACATCAAAGAACAGGTGTCTGTGGATGAACCTCTGGCTTAAATGTGCCAGCACAGCTCCAGGAACACAACTAATGCTTAAACATAATGGATGGCTCTTAAAACCAGCCTATGAGCCTTACATGTGCAAGTGGTCATTGAGGTTTTGGAACTAGGTGGGAGAATATGTTCGTAAACAGAAAAATTATCCACGTATGGAAAGGTTTATTTTCAATGGTACACAGGTGATCCAAAGCACACACCTTCCTAGTGCTCAGACAACTGTTCTCTTTGTGCTTATAGCAAGATGCGAGTGCAAGACCCTGGAGCTAGAATCAGAGGCCCTAGCCCTTGACCAAATTCTGTCCATGACTAGCAAGCGTCTGTTATTCGTCTGTAGGAGGAAGGTGACCATCTTGGTTCTGTCAGTTCAGAGGTCACTGTCAGGCTCAGAATAGATAATACTTGTGAAATGAAACATGAATGTAAGGATTTAAAAGTAAATGCTGTACAAAAAATAAAATCACAATATAGGCTGAAGATAGCAAAGACTTTATTGGGAAGGAACCAGAGAAGCTTCCCCAAGGCTGGGAAGACAATGCAAAGTAGCCATGAAGAGGAGGGAGTAAGACAGAAGGACAATGAGACTATGAGAAAAAAATGACTATGGAGAGACAGAAAACATGGAAGAAACCTAAGAAAATTGTCACAAGGATTTGTGCTTTAGGTTACTTAGAGGTAAAGTGGTGACCATTTTTGCAAGGCTATCACAATGACCATAGGTCAAGGAGACCTTAGACCTGCAGCTATCACAGGGATCAACAGCAAATAAAGATGAAGAAAATTAGACTGTAGTTGACTGCATCTTACCACGCCTACTCACAGAGCCTTTTAATCAAGAATATGACTAATAGAAAGATGGTAGCAGCATGCTGGACCGAGCTTGTGGCAGTAAGGAAGAACTGACAGGTTGGTTGTCAGAAGGTTGGTTTGTGTCACACGATTCCGTGGTGAGAGGATCAGCAGCAGGAAGGCTGGCAGCAGCTGGATCCACAGCTCTGGACTTGGCACCAAGGCAGGCAGACACAGGTGGGGTGGTAGCATGTTCTCCGGCAGTACACGGGTCCAGAGCTAGCTGGCTGGCAGCAGGTGGTTTGACAGCAAGTTGAGGGGCAGCAAGGCTGGCAGCAGCTGGACCCACTGCAGGTTTGTCCACAGCAGCTGGACTCAGAGCAGCTGGGCTGGCAGCAGGTTGAGCTGCAGTAGGAAGGGCGGCAGCAGCTGGTCACACAAGTTGGCTGGGAGCAGGTGGTCCTGCAGCAGGTGGTTTGACAGCGAGTTGGGGGGCAGCAAGGCTGGCAGCAGCTGGACTCACAGCAGGTGGGCTGGCAGCAGGTGGTCCTGCAGCAGGTAGGCTGGCAGCAGGGGGAGCAGCAGGAGTGGGTCATGGTGTCAGGGCTGGAGGGTGGGCTCCTGTTCAGAGGTGAGTTTTCAAGAATCTGATGACTCCTTCTCTTCTGGGGCTTTTATACACTGACCCCCAAAGTTGGCACCAATGAGCAGGACTTTCCTTGTTATTGTTTACATTATCTTCCACAGTCACTGGGGGAGTTGTCATGGAGGAAGCTGTTCCCTAAATATCATGAATCTTTAGAAAATAAGTGTTTAAATCTGTTTCTTAATTGAGAATAACTCATAGAAAGCTTTTTCAGATAAAAGGAAGGCGGTCACATCATCAGCATCGTTCCTGCTTCAATCACATCTGATCATGTGATCTATTTCCTGCTGGCCTCGGGAGGTCAGAGCAGGTATCTCTCCCCAGCTTTGTCCTTTGGTTGTCTGTAGATTGGGAAGTGTCCCTGGGGAGGGGCATGATGCTGACATGTTCACAGTGAGGAACTGAATCCATGCTTAGTCCAAGTCTGTTACGCACAAAGCCTGAATCAAGATAATTATAGGCATCTCTCTCTGTAGCAACTTACCCACCTATGTAGCTCAGTTCTGTCAAAGACACTGGGGTGGAGGATGTTGGCACAATCTCCTCCATATGGCAAAGCAGAACCAAAGCAGGTGGGTAGATATTCCCTTTAATAATGTCTAAAAGAATTTAAGACACTATTATTTCTTCCTTGAATATGTTTTGATTGATAAAATACACTGGCGGAAGCCATTAGTGTCTGTAGCGTGTGTGTGCATGTGGGAGAGGGGTGAGGGAGGAGACTGGCATTTATAATTATTGATTAAATTTCTTGAGTTCATATAAAAATCTTTAGATTTGTTGCTTCTCATATCAGTTTTGATAAGTTTTTTTCCTAGGAATTTATCCTTTTCATGTAAAATTTAAAATTTTGGCAGAAAGTTTTTATATTTTATTATGTTTTTAATACTTTAGAATCTGTAGTCATGTCTTATTTTCATTTGGAATATTATTTACAGATCCTACTCTCTATTTTGTTTTAATAATGTTGCCATGGTTTACTAATTTTATTGCTTTTTCATAGAACCAACTCTGTTCAAAAGAAATGCAGAAATGAGAGAGACTGGTGGAGAATTGTCTCAACAGAAGGGAACCCGTAAATCCAATAATATACATCATTCATTCACTCAAAGTTGTAGATTTTTGCTACAATATCCTGTCAAGCAGTTGTCCAGCTACCTTGAGTGACTGTGAATTCATACCCCAAGGTAGCCTATTCTATGTAGGTATATTACAAAGTATTTCTGTATATATAAATACATTTCGTTTTTTTCTCATGGGGTTCACTTGTGATTATATAGTCTGAAAGGCATATTTGCAGGTTCCTGTCCTCATTAGCCATCTTCCCTCCCAGCTCCCATTTATAGGAAATCACGTTCATCTTCCTCCAAACCTAGGCACCTGCCTTCCCACTGTGTGGGATCTACCTCTGCTCACGCAGAACATGTCCCTGCCTGGCTGTTGTGAACTTTAGCATGGTTAATTTCTTCAAGTTCCTTTTCACTGACTTTGGCAATGAACTCTTCTTTCTTGTTATAATCCAGTTCAGAGTGGTTTGCTGAATGTTTAAGATCTTCCTAGATACTATTTTAATAGAGTGAAATATCTAGTGTTTTCATACCTGTTGCCTCTCATTTCTGTTTGCATCATTTTGTGAGCTGTTTTGAGAGCACAGCATCCATTTTCTGCAGTAACCTCCGTCAATCACAGCTTTTCTATCCGTCTCTGTTTTAATTTTCATTTATTTGTTCTCCATTGTGGATGCAACAGACAATAGGATGTATCTCTGGGACTTGGGAATCTGAGTTTGGTTTTTGAGTATTCTCCTCCATGTTCTTCCACTCACGGGCAAGTTACTTAACCTAGTCAAGCCTTTTTCCAGTTGACTTCTTGTATAAATTTTTTGTCTTCCCTCTATTATTTTATAAGCATAAAAGCATAAACACAAATCTGGTTTATCTTTTTCATTCCCAGGGGGTTATAGTTTCTTTCTATGCTGGTACTCATAATGAGCAAATCTCATAAGGGCCAGGGTCCTGGTCATTTTGTTTATTTCTGTACCCCCTGCATGAGCACAATGACTGGTGCACAGTAGGTGCAAAATACCTAGCTGTTGAAGGAAAAGGGCCTTTTGAATCTGCAGATTATAACTTCTTACTTCCCATTTTTTGTCTCCAAACCTCAATAGTTCATAACAAAATGAGATGAATAAGATAACGCCAAGACATTCATTTTTGTGTGCAAGACTTTGTTGCTCATAGAGTAACCTCTTTGATCTCTTCTGGTGCATCATAAATGAAAGTGCAGTGGAAACAGATTGGTTTTTGAAGCCAGTCAAGCTATTTACAAGCTGTGCAGCTGTGCGCGTTGGTGCATGCTGCATTACCTCCTAGAGCTCCATCTACTCGGCTTTAACATGGACGCAGCAAGATCTCCCTTGTAGGCTTGTTTGAGAATAAGACACTGTACGTAAAGCATAGAACTCAATATCTACTAAGTGCTCAGTAAATATCAATAAATCACTTCAAGGACTCCTCTGCTGGGGTGCACCAAGAGTGCTCACAGTCGCAAGTTGGATCACTTAGCAGGCTCTTCAGAGACCCTTGGCCACAGGCCAGGAAGACGACAAGTCTCTCACCTCTGTCAGCCTGACCAAGTGGACGCCTGGTCCTGAAATCCTATTTTCTCTTTGAGGCAGCAAGAGCCTTCAAAAGTCCCAATGCTTGTGTGTGCTCTCTAGTGTTCAGTTCTTCTTTGGGATATCTGCTTCCACCTCTTTTGCTGTCGCTCTCACATCTGTCATGGATTCTGGTGGTATACAGCGCCGCCTCATTTTCTAGTTCCCCATAGTCCTCTACTTGTGCATAGAAAAGTGCCCAGCATGTGAAAGTATTAAGATTTCCCCTGCTAGAGAAGCCAGAGCCAGGAAAGTGCATATCTTACCAGTGCTAGGATATTCCCATTTGCAGTAAAATGTAAGATAAGGTACCTCTGAGAGAAAATAAGACCTAGGTACTAGACCAGACACTGAGCAGGTACCTTTTCTCATCTATATGTTGCCAAAGATACTCTTGGCTCTGACCACCTTGTGAGGTTATTGTGAGATTAGGAAGGGATGATAGAAGTGAAATGCAGTCAGAATGTAGCCTCTTATAAAGGAAATGCTGTAGAAACAAAGAAAATGCAAGAAAATATGCAAGGTAGTGTAGATTTTATTATGAAATAAACGAGGAAAACTCCCTGTAGCTAGGAAGACAATCACCAGGGAGAGTTAAGAAAAAATCCACAGGTCTTTGTTTCCTTGTTTTCTAGGTTGCCCAAAGAAAAAGGGTGAAAATCATTTTTCCATGAAAGCACGACTCGAGCAAGCACAGATAAAGTAGACCAGGACCTGGAACACCAACCAACAGGCCAAGAGAAGAAAGTGAAGTGGACTGCACTCCATCAAGCAGACTCTCAAGACCCTTTACGAGAAGACAACCAATAGCTGGTTTGATGATAAGAAAGCCTGGAGGGTGATTTTGTTGCAGGAACCGAGTTGGCTGATGGAAGTTGGAAGGTGATGGGTGTGGTAGGTCTTCAGCATGAGGATCAGCAGCAGGACGGCTGGCAGCAGCTGGACTCACAGCAGGCTGGGCGGCAGCAAGGCTGGCAGCAGCTGGATCCACAGCTCTGTGCTTGGCACCAAGGCAGGCAGATGCAAGTGGGGTGGTAGCATGTTCTCCGGCAGTACACGGGTCCAGAGCTAGCTGGCTGGCAGCAGGTGGTTTGACAGCAAGTTGAGGGGCAGCAAGGCTGGCAGCAGCTGGACCCACTGCAGGTTTGTCCACAGCAGCTGGACTCAGAGCAGGTGGGCTGGCAGCAGGTTGAGCTGCAGTAGGAAGGGCGGCAGCAGCTGGTCACACAAGTTGGTTGGTAGCAGGCGGTCCTACAGCAGGTGGTTTGACAGCGAGTTGAGGGGCAGCAAGGCTGGCAGCAGCTGGATCCACAACAGCTGGACCCACAGCCAGTGGGCTGGCAGCAAGGGGAGCAGCAGGAATGAGTCATGGTGTCAGGGGTGGAAGGTGAGCTCCTGTTCAAGGTGAGTTTCCCAGAATCTGACGATGACTTCTTCTGCTGGGGCTTTTATACACTGGACCCCCAAAGTTTGGGCCAATGACAGGACTTTTCCTTGTTCATATTTATGTTGTTTTCCATAGTCCATGGGGAAATGGCGTGAGGAGGAAGTTGTTCTCTAAGTATTATAAGTCTTTTGAAAATTATGCTTTAAGCAGTTGATTGTGGATAATTCATTGGGAATATTTCCAGAAATCATCATCAGTATAATTTCTGCCTTAATAATCATATGGTCATGTGATAGTTCATGTTGAATTGGGGAGGGTCAGAGCAGTTGTCCCTCCCTGGCTTTGTTCCTTTGGCTGTACATAGATTGGGAAGTGTCCCTGGGGAGGAGTGTGATGCTGATAGATTCATAGTGATGATTTGAATCCATGTCTGGATCCAAGTCTGTTCATCCAGAAAATACTACAAATTATTCAAACTACAATAGGCATCCTACCTGTGGCAGCCATTGCACATATGTATCCCATTTTTATCAAAGTGTACTTGGGTAGAGCGTAGTTGGCATAATTTTTTTTTTTTGAGGATTTTTGCATCGATGTTCATCAGTGATATTGGCCTGTAATTTTCTTTTTTAATTTATTTTTTTATTGATGTTTTAATAGTTTTTAACATTGTGAAATTTTGGGTAGTACATTTTTGTTTGTTCATCACCATATACATGTCTCCCTTCACCCCTTGTGCCCACCCCTTTGGTAACCACAATCCAGTTTTCTCTGTCCATGTGTTGGTTTATATTCCACATGAGTGAGATCATACAGTGTTTGTCTTTCTCTTTCTGGCTTACTTCACTTAACATAATACCCTCCAGGCCCATCCATGTTGTTGCAAATGGGACAATTTTGTCTTTTTTATGGCTGAGTAGTATTCCATTGTATATATATATACCACATCTTCTTGA